TGGGGCGGGAGTGTGCGAGGGGGTGGGGGGTGCTGCGTGTATGGCAGTGTGAGGTGGGGTGTGGGTGCATGTGAATGGTGGGGGGGGACTTGCCCTATGAATACACACACACGCGCACACATACTCTGCCCTGCCTATGCACACAGACACACTGCTCCTGCCTGCACGCACACACATGTATGTACCGGCATGGCCCCGTGCTCCCCTGTCTGGTGATTCAGCTGGGAGCCGCATGGTGCCGAAGGGCAGAGGTAAGAAGAGAGTGAAATGGCTGAGGGTGGGAGGAGCTGGGCTGCTTAGTTCTGCTGAGGGCTCCCCCTGGTTCTTACTGCCCCTGGTGCCTGTTAGCTTTGACAGGCAGCCAGGAGCAAATAAATATTGATTTACTATTTTTTTTAGGGGCCCCCCAGGCCGGATAGAATGGCCGGGCAGGCCAGATGCAGCCTGCGGGCCGTATTTTGCCTGCCCCTCTTACCTAATAACGGCACTTGTTCCACATAAGATCAGTTTACTGGAGGAGGCTGAAATTGCCCTGGTCCTTGCCAGACACTCTAGCCATAAAGTTTGTACTGGATGAGAAGACTCCACAGACCAGTTGGTAGAGGGACTAGAGGTCAAATTTCCTGTGGTGGGTATTGTGAGGGCAGAGAACAAGAGGAGAGAGATTACAGAAGCTATCAGAAGGATAAGAGAACATGAGATTAGACATAGATCAAAGGAGATGTGCAAAGCCATGGAGAACCTGGCCCATAGCATAGCTAAAACTCATCTGTTCTGTTTTGGTAGCAAGTCAGTGGGAGAACAGATCCTTGGTGCTGAACAAAGGAGAGGGAATTACAAGAAAGAGGAAATGCATGCTCTAATATGTTTGGATAAAGGAATGAGAGCTCGGGTAGAATACGCAGGAATGAGTATAAGGGATGATTGTAGCAAGCAAGGTGAAAGAAAATTCAGGAGAGGCAGACAAGTGCAAAATAAGTAAAGAGAATTTTGTGAGAGCACAATATGGGGAGACAGGTTTATACTTTAATTAGCTATTTAGCAGAGAATGGTAGTGAACTACCATCAAATAGTGCTGCATGTGGTACTTTCTGTCATTTGTGTGTACATGCATGCGGGCAATTTGAAGTGAACAGGGCATGAGAATGTATAGTTCCAACAGAACATATGGAAAATCAGGTCACAATATTTTAAAAAGTTGAGAAAGAAGAAACAAAGAGTTGACACTATTCAACTAGGCCTTTTAACGTGGCTTCTCTGTCAGGTGGTCAAGGGTTGTGGTGGCAGACTGATTCAAACAGCTCACTATGCTTTTTCAGTCACAAGCGTGAGTTTGCTATGGACTCGGGATGATGCGGCTAAAAGTGGGCACCCCTCGTTTTGGCCATACATGTTGCTAGACAATTAGTAGCATCACTCCCTTGTTTGCTGTTGGTGAGAAAAATTGGCATGTTATGATCATGATAGCAATATGGGCTGCTAGGCTCTGGAGGACCTTTCATACCTTATTTTAATAGCTGGCAAAAACTTGAGTGTATTTCGGGTTCAGGAGTTGATTGGTTTATAGTGTTCTTTTGAGTGGAAAACACATAAATATTAGGGCTATGTGAAAGAGCAGCATTCTGCTTTGACTTCGGTTTCGACATTTCAACAGAACTGTTTCATTTAGAGTTTTGTTTGATTCTGAAAGCACTGTTCCGATTTGTTTCATCAAAACTATTTTGCTGTTTCGATGCTCTTTCGCTGTTTTTACCCATAGATTATAATAGGGAATCATAAAATGCAGCGGGCAGGCAGATCGGGGGCTCACCGCACCCCGGGGAGGGCTGCGGGGGCTGTGCCGGACTCCTCTCGAGGGTGCGGGCCCCCGATCTGCCTACCAGATGACAGACCTGCACTGGGCGCAGCCCACACCCAGCGCCGGGAAGATCGGTGTTGCCGTTGGCCCCAGGTGGCAGCACCTGCCTCCTGTCATCCAGCAGGCAGATTGGGGGCCCACACCCCTGGGAGGACTCCAGCGCAGCCCCTGCAGCCCTCCTGGGGGTGGGGGGCACAGACTCCTGATCTGTGCAGCCAGCAGGACCCACCTCTGGCAGGCAGATCAGGGGCAGCACCAGAGTTGACCTGAGGAGGGTGCGGGG